GGCCGGGGCGGGCGGCAGCCGGCGGCCCCGAGCGCCGCCCCCGGCACCGCCGCCCCCTCCCCGGGCGGTGACAGCCCGCAGGACACCCCGCTCGGCCCCGTGTAATCCCATTACCGCGGGTAATCCGCGGGCAGGCTCCGCGCAGAGCGGCGCCCGGACCGCTCGCCCTTCCCCGCGTCCCCGGGCTACCGCGGCCGGGCGCAGTCCGGGCGGCGGCGAGGGCGGCAGCGCAGCTCCCTGCCTTTTGTTTCGTCCCGGGCTGGGACCCGGCCCCCGGTCCCGGCGGCGGGGCGGGAGCCCTGGAAGAACGTGCGGTGCCGGACGGAGTTGTAGGGGCGGCCCGGGGAAGGGTTTAGCCCAGCCGGCAGCCGGCGGGGAGGTGCCGCTCCGGGGGGCGTGCGAGGGCAGCGCCTCCCTCCCGCCTCGGTTCGGGGCGGCCCGGCGGCGACGGGATGGGACGGGACGGGCTCCCGCTCGCTGCTGGCCAGGGCCACCACCCCGGGTTTCCTGAGTGGCTGTAGCGGCTGCAGCCGCCGGTTCTCCCTCCCTTCCTCACACAGAGGGGTGCGCAGAGGTGCCTCCAGCCTGGTGCCCTCGGCGCCTCTGCCCGTGTCCAGGCTGGCCAGTTCGCCGGTTTCAGACCGAACGTTGCCTTCTTTTCGTTATGCTCAGCCTCAGCCGGGAACCGCTGGGCAAAGTTTAGCGTAAACTGCAGTTTATTTCCAGAGCGGAGCTCGTGTGCGGTAGGCCTAATTAGCTTTTGTGATACGGCTGCTTTCTCTCCTTTTAAAGCACGCGTAAACTCCGTGGAGTTGATTTAAAGTTGCCGGATTTGCTTGATTGCCGGCATGAAATTACTGTGTAGCGTACCTTTTTCGGTCACAGCCTTCTTACTTGGGTTACCTTCAAAGAGATCTGTCCCTCGAGAGTGGAAAGGTGATTGCTCTAAAAGAACAGCATCGATCAGCTGTTCTGTTACTCATATCTCTCAGATACCTTGACTCCTGCTCCACATGGCTTCCAATTCACAGCTAGCAGCTGATGATGGAATCAAGCCAAGAAAAATAAAATTCTGGAGGAGGTCACTTAAGAAAAGCCCCAGAAGTTCTCTTTGAATTAAGATACCTCTTTCCTCTACTTTTGCACGTTATGCAAGAATTGTGGTATCTAGCTAACTGGTGGATCTGAGCCTTTTAGAAATGCTCCTGCTTCCCAGGAAAGTCCGGAATCCTCTTAGCTGTGCCTCACGTGTCTGACCTGCCGGGGTCTGGGAGCTCGGGGCCGGCGGACAGGACGGGACAGGAGAGGGCAGGACGGGAGCTGAGTGTGCAGAGCTCCCTGCGATGCTGCTGCTCACCCTGCCGCGCACACCAAGCGAGGACCGGCCTCCTGGTGAGGCCAAGGGAGAGCTGCTCATTTTTCCCCTTTTGCCCTGGCCTTCTCCAGTGTCAGAAGTGTCGGTGCTCAGCAAAGGGTAACAACTCTTGTGGCTCAGGAGTCCCGCCAAATGTCTGTGCTTTCCAATTCAGAACTTCATTCTCTTAGATACGGTTTTGCTCCAGGATTTGGCAGACTCTCCTTTCCTTTGCAAATAACAAAGATGAGGGGTTATATGTAATATATTGAATTACGATGGCTATTTTTGAAAGCTTAGACGTGGCTGTATCGGTCCAAACATGGTGCAAATTCTTTTATCCCTATGGAATTAAGTTCAAATGTAGAACTGCAGATCCCTGTGGAAAAGGTAGTTGGCAGTAGGGCCAGTTTGTCATCATGGGAAGGGGTAGAAAGCTGTATTTCTCAGCTTGGTTTTTTTGCACTATCTTGTGCAGTCAATTAAATTACTGTTTTTCTGCAAAAACGACACAGAACAAACCAAACATACCAGGAAAGTGGGCAAAATGTTCAACAAACAGCAACCCAGAACTTGAAAAAGTCAAAAGTTGGTATGAGATTAAATATGTAATATCCAAGCTTGACTTTTATTTAATGGCTGGACTTTAAATTGGATTTTTTCCTTTTTTTTCCCCTCAGGTTGACAGAGTTCATTAGTCATTTTGTAATCAATATCTTTAAGCATGCTACTTGTAACCAAACTTTTTGAAATGAAATTGTGGAAGATAAATGACCTGAGGGGAATCACCACTTAAATGTGATGATTTGAAACAGGAAAAAGAAAAACTTGCCCTATGAGATGTATTTCTGCGTTAAAATTCAGATAGAGAAATCTGAATTTATAGAGTTACTCAGTAAATTTTCCCTGTTGATTTTTAGATTAATTAAACTCTAGTAAAAAATCCAAACTTCCACTTAAAAATTCATGTATGATGATAATTAGCAGCTCTTCTAAAAAGAAAATATATAAAAAATTTTGACATTGATGAATATGAGGCTGCCAGTTCTGGCAGCTTTTTAGATAATGTATGCTTTGTGATGGAGCTATGCAAAAGAAATGCTTCTCTGGTTTGAAATATCCTTACATTAAGTCTTTACTTGCTCTTGGGCATGCCTTTCTTAAAGGGACTGACTGCTGTGGAGACTCCCAAACTGCGATGAGTTAGGGCATGAGGCTGGGGAAGGTGCTCCACAGGAGCGTATGGTTTCCATAGTGTTTGCAGGGACAAGTACGTTGTTGGGCAGAGAAATCCCAAGGGTAAAGAATCAAGTGCTCATCGCCAGCTGAGCTCGTCCCCTCAGGTTTTACAAGGTAAAAGAGAGCAATGTTGGCTGTTCCTTGCTTGTTAGTGGTTGTCATTCCCTCTTTCCCGAGACTGGAATCCGAAGTGCAGGGCAGTGCTCTGACCTTGGCCTCTCCTCTGCTCCATTTGGGGAAAAGCAGATCTGCATCTTGCTGACTGCAGCGGGGATCTGGATCCAGAACTTCCAGAGGATTGACTCAACTCATCTTTTTAAGCTTACGTTCATATTTAGGAAGTATTTTTTGTAACTGTAGGATTGGGTTACAAGCCCTGATTATATACAAAATGAAGCTCTTAGTGGATGCTTTCAGCAGCTAAACCCCTGTGTTATTAATCTTGGTTAAATTCTAGTGCTGAATCAATGTATTAGCATTGTACTTTTCGTGCTGCGCTGTTAGCTTTAGGGACTAAACTTACTGGGTTTGGTTTCTGGTTTGATTTTATTCCCCCAACTGTTTTTTCATAGTTCTTGTCTGTGCCAGTGCCCTTATTTTATATTGGCTTTTTTAGAAAAGTATGATAAAAATGCTGTTTATTGAATTTGGGTCCACCAACTAGTTCTGCTTTTTCTGTTTCTTCTTTTAGAAATTGGCATGTTTATCTTAAAAGGCCCTTTCCAGCCTCAATTTCTTGACTTTGAAAGGTTGCAGTTTGTGTATTTTCTTTCTTTATATTTTTCCTTTTTTTGTGTACTTTTTTGACTGGCTGAGTAGATGGTGAACAAGTAGATGGACCACTGAACTCAGGCATAAAGGAACAGCTTGTTTTTCTGATTGTAAAGGCACAGAAGACTAATTACAGAGGTATAAAAGGTCATCAGGCTCAAGTCAGCTTTGAATTTGTGCAAAATGTCAGTAAATTTGGCCTCCAGAAATGTAGGCAAATCAGACAGTTAGATCAGTCTTTGTGGATTGTGGGCACTATCTTCTTTGTCATCAATTACAGCATGATGAGCTTTCTGACCTTGTCCGTAATGAAATAGACTTGATTAAATGTTATGAGAAAGGAAAATATTATATGCCTTTTGGGGGATTTGAGAAGCAGGGATGATCCTTAGCAACTACATTTCTTTT